GATTGTCAACAATATCAATGTATATCTAAACTTATTTCAATATTTTTTTTTAATTTTTTAACTAACTATCTGTGACTACCATTATTATTTTCAAATAATGATATATATATTTACAATCGCTTTAACCCTAACTTTAAATGAGTAAGTAAAGTGTCCAAATACCTCTATAAAATAGATCTTTTTAATACTTATACATATAAATAATAATAATATGTGGTAGTCACGGATATTTTTTTCCTTCCTTAAATTTTCAAGCATTAATACTAATTTCTCTTTCCCAGATAGGTTTCAACTCGGGGAAATTTTTTTTTTTATATTTGGTCTACCAAAAACTTTTGTCAGCGGAAATAATCGCTTTAATTTTATATTTAAGCAAGAAGTTCTGTTATTAAAAAAAAGTGGTACAGTATTTACCCTTTAACTCAATGGTAATGTTATAGTAGGAGAGACAGCATAAATGGTGCAAAACAGATTCTGCATACATATTCCAAATTGTAGATAAACTACTAAACAAAATTAATCGATGAATCTGATCTATACATTTAAAGGTAAATACCCAACCACTTTAATTTAAAAAGGCACCTTTTGTATTATTGTATCACAAATTGTGAGTTTTCGCAGGCTGAATTTTTCAATTAATTTAATATATCCCCTTGTTCATAAAAATAAAAAAAAAATAAAAATAAAAAAATTATAAACCTACTGCGTAATGAATCAGCAAGAATCTATCTATTCTGTGATGAGCCAAGTCAAGGAAAGTGACCTGGTCTAAAAAAATGTTAGCAGTAACTATTAAACTGAATCCATATGTTAAGTTACCACATATTTTTTTAAGAAGTATTGAAGTATTAAACGACATATATCATTAGTCTCCCGCTTCTACTTTATTTTTAATAAAACATGGCGCCATTGGCAAGCAGCAAAGCTGTAGCAGATTTTGCGTAACCCAGGGTGCACTAACGAGGAGGCCTGCCACTCGGGCTTGCGATGGCAAGCCCTGGAGTGTTCTTTTAACAAACTCAGCTTTTATTCCTGACCACCCGCCATCATTTGCAGTTGCATCTTTAATTTAGACTATTAACGGGGCATGACCGTCTACAGAATCTTTTTTTTTCGCATTGGGCTAGCCGATTCACCTTTGTGTGTTTTATGTGATAGTGGACGGCCAAAGACGCAGAACATTTGGACGAGTGTGAAGCACTGACAGATTTTCCTTGTATATTTCAACGCTATTGGCAAACAAGAAGTTTAATGGCCTAACGGCTAATGTAACTGGCATTTGACAAANTCATTCAAATCCATATAAAAAAATTACATCTTTTTAGTAAATACTAAGTCATTAAAATAAATTTGAATTCAAATAAATGACATGTAATTTGTTAAACCTATTAGAAATGTGCTATAGTATAATTCGTGATGTAAATCAAAAATCGCCAAATAAATTCGTGAAAAAAAGCGCTTTCGACAAAATACTAAAATAGAGATCTATCGACAAAGACTACTCACTTCTGCCTAGCTTAATAGTATGATATTGCCGCAGCTGAATAGTTATTTCAGTTTTCGTTTTTAAAAGCGCTATATGTTGAGCCACCTCAGCTGGATTTGGCATGTGACTTTTGAGCGGTAATCATTGCTTGATTTTCTAGCGTTGCCATTCGGGGAGTTGTAATGAGACTTTTTTTGTCGCCGTGTAACAGAAATATATAAATAGATTTCTCTTTCCCAGATAAGTTTCAACTCGGGGAAATTTTTTTTTTTTATATTTGGTCAACCATAAAGTTCTTTCCGCGAAATTACACGCCTCTTTTTCACAGTTATGCAAAAACTTCTTTTATAAAAAATAAAAATAAAAAGTGGTACAGTATTTACTCAACTCAATGGTGATATTCTAGTAAGAGAGACAGTATAAATGTTGTAAAACAGATTATGCATACATATTCCAAATTGTAACAAAACTACTCGACAAAATTAATCGATGCATCTGATCTATACATATAAAGGAAAATGCCCTGCCACTTTAATTTAAAAAGGCACCTTTTGCATTATTGTATAACAAATTGTGATTTTTCGCAGGCTGAATTTTCCAATTAATCTAATATATCCCCTTGTTCATTAAAATAAATGAATAAACCTACTGCGTAATGAAACAGCAAGAATCTGTCTATTCTGTGATGAGCCAAGTCAAGGAAAGTGACCTAGTCTAAAAAAATTTTAATAGTAACTATTAAACTGAATCCATATGTTATTTAGTTACTGCATAAATTTTTTAAGAAGTATTGAAGGTACTTTTTCCGCATTATTTATCTGCCTAATGTAGCAGAGAGACAAACTTCAGTGCTCTCTGAAAATTTTTTTTAATAGAATAGTAGAAAATAAAAAACTGAAGCTTGCATGTTTTTGTTTTATTTTGCCGATGCTTAAAAAGGCTCATCACAATATAAATGAAACAGCGTGGCGTTTCGCATGAACTTTCAAAATTATTTAAACGTAGTGGAGGGAAAAACGTTACTTCAAATTTCTAAACCAAGAATCATACAATAAAACGTATGTTTTACAACCAAAAAAAAAAAAAAACATTTTTTCTGGAGCAAATGAGCATATCGCAATTGTCTTATAAGAAATAAATAAAATGTAGTTAACAAAAATGTTTCATTTTTTGGTTTTACTTAATTTTAAAAATAACGCTATTCACAATTTTAGAATTGAATATTTTAATTTATAAAATGCTAACAAGTCGCGGTAGTTAAAATATCTTGTTTCATTAAAAAGTAAACGACATATATCATTAGTCTCCCGCTTCTACTTTATTTTTAATAAAACATGATGCCATCGGCAAGCTGCAAAGCTGAAACAGATTTTGCGTAACCCAGGGAACACCAACGAGGAGGCCTGCCACTCGGGCTTGCGATATGGCAAGCCCTGGATTGTTCTTTTAACAAACTCAGCTTTTATTCCTGACCACCCGCGATCAGTTGCAGTTGCATCTTTTAGACTATTAACGGGGCATGACCGTCTACAGAATCTTTTTTTTTTTCACATTCCGATTTACCGATTCACCTTTGTGTGTTTTATGTGATAGTGGACGGCCAATGACGGCAGAACATTTAGACGAGTGTGAAGCACTGACAGATTTTCCTTGTATATTTCAATGCTCTTGGCAAACAAGAAGTTTAATGGCCTAACGGCTAATGTAACTGGCATTTGACAAATAAAATAAAACAAGGTGACTATTGCGAATGAATTGAATAATAGATCTACTGAAAATTCCCATAATGTTCCTTTATAAAAAATAAAATAAAGTGTTATGACATTTGCCTTTCACGCATTCCTTACCGAGAAGGGCATAAACGCAACATTTCCCAATGACAAGAAAACTTCTTAAAAATATGGTCAACATATGAAGTCAAATAAAGTGGAAAGTCTCTCTTATCTACTACATTTAGTTTAATAAAAAGCAATTGAATGAATGTAAAACGATATGAAGTAATTTATATTAATAATATACCACAGTTACACCAACTTCTTGGCCCCTTAACTTGTGCCCTCGAGTTAATTCGAGCGCCCTAAACACGCCAAACTGTGCACACACGAGATAATTCGAGCGGCGTTGTATTTTTATGTTGCTATAATTTTTCACACTCGAATATCATCGAGAATTGGAAATGTGAAAGCTAGGATTGTAAGCTATAACACTTATTTTTCAAGAATAAAATATACAGAGATGCCAACTTGCTCCGGACAGCAAATACATACTTTAAAGTGGTAGTTCATCAATTGCGATTCTTGGTTTAATAAATTCAATTTAGTTGATTTTTATGCACCACTATTTCTAAATAATTCGCAGGCTTATATAATTCACCACTTTCAAATACTTATGTTATGCATTACTTTTTAAAAAGCAATCAAAATTAGTCAAATATTTGCAAAATTTATTTTGTAGTTATATACCTTTTTTTTAAAATTATTATGTCCGGAGCAGTTGGCATCTCTCAATATAGCCTTTTTCCATGGAACAAAAGCGCAGCATATCAAAATTATCCACCTAAAGAAAAGACAATGTTCTTAAGTGTGTTTTTTTACATAAAAAAAAAATTTCTTTTCGGCCGGTTTTTTTTCAAAAAATCTGAGCGTTACGGGGTTAATATTGCTAAATAAAGCTAAAAATAAAACAATTGAGCTAGTACATTATATATTTTTAAAAATGGACATGTTCTGGACTGTCATCTTCCTAGGCTTTTGGAGAAAATTTCATCTAGTGGTATGTGAGTTTTTATTCTTCTTAGTAGATTTAATTTAAAGGTTTTTCAACACCACTACATGTAAATGGTTCTGAAGTTTATATGAAACGCAAATCCACTACCTGCTTACCTCAATGCTCAACCAAAACTGTGCTAAAATTCGAGATGAATGGGATAGGGGTCGCTTCGCAGCCTAGGTGCCCTATAAAATCAAAACACTAGGACTAGGACGACCTCTCCCGTAGTGAATTTAAGTGTTGGCTAAATTACCAAGGATCCTGAATACTTCAGGTTTTAGCTGTCTACCACTTTTTCAAATATTTTTCAAAATGCGTAGCAGTTGACAGCCCTGCAACAATGTTCCTACAAATATTGAAGAAAAAAAAATTAAGTTGAAAATGCAACTATTGTATTTTTTAAAATGCATAAAGATGTTGAAACTTTCTACTCAATTCTTACAATTGAAGTGAAATTATGACCTTTTAAAATTTCATAAAATTATTGATACCACTTTTTCAGATTTTAAACTGGTATAGTTTATGTTACCTATTGTATTGTGTGATATTCTTGGTGGTATCCAAGTAAGACGCATAATAACAAAGGTATAAGTTTAATAAAACAATAAAACATAACAATAACATGCTTACAGCACGTAACAAGGTTAGCGATGAACATCTATTAGGAATGGGTATATATACTCTCTGGAAAGGTAAGGCAGCGCCGCTATTCAGAAACTACAGGCTGTCGTCGTTGACACGTAGTGATGACGGAAGGTGACGTCGGTTGACATCACAACACCCCTTTGCCCTAGGATAGAACAAAGTCTTTGAACCTGCTTGGCCTGACGATGGTATGTCTGGGCCTCAAGTTTCTGGAAGTCTGTTCTGGAACTGAAACAGAAGACTCTTGATTTGGTATTGTAGGTTCAACTACTGAACTCTGAGAATCAGCACTGGAAGGAATGGGAGATGGTACTTCAGTCTCAACACTCGTTGCTGGTGGCGATGATACACTAGGATTGGATGGAACAGTCAACGGATCAGGAATACGCTTCCGCATTTGATCCACATGACGTTTAACTACCTCGCCTTCTGTAGTCGCAGCTTGGTAGAAAGCTGGACCTGTAGGTTTAATGACCGTTGCTGAAAACCACTTTGGACCCTGTCCATAGTTTCTCACAAAGTCTGGATCGTCGGCACTGAACGATCTTGGAAGAGAACTACCATTTTTTCTATACGCATCTTGCTCCTGTCTCAACTTCCTCTCAGCCGTCAGATCTGGATGGAGTCTATCTAAGACGGTCCTTAGCTTCCTCCCCATCAACAGTTCCGCAGGACTAGCACCTGTTGTGGTGGTGGGAGTACAATGTTGTTGAAGAAGGAACTTGGCAAGCCTCTTCCTCCAATTTCCCTTCACAATGCGTCTTAGGGCATCTTTGACGGTCTGGACTGTTCTTTCAGCCTGACCATTTCCGAACGGACGTCTTGGTGCGATCATGACCCTTCGAACGAGATTCCTTTCTAAGAAAATATGGTACTCCGATGCTCGAAACTGACCTCCGTTATCGGAAACGATTACTTCAGGTATCCCATGGGTAGCAAAGATTTCTCGCAGGACGTCGACTGTTGCAGAAGCAGACGTAGAAGTCATATGACGGACTTCTATCCACTTTGACATAGCATCTACTATGATGAGGAATTCTTGTCCCTGGAACGGACCTGCAAAATCTATATGAAGACGGGACCAAGGTTTCTCTGGAATCTCCCATGGATGGACTGAAGCTTTAGGAGGGGCATGGCGTGTCTGTTGACATTCCTGGCATCTTTGAACATGCACTTCTATGTCGTGGTCCATGCCTGGCCACCACACGTATGAACGTGCGAGAGCTTTCATTCTTTCGATCCCTGGGTGTCCCAGATGCAGAGCCTGGGGAACACGTGATTTTCCACACACTGGAATAACTACTCTATTACCCCATAACAAGCAATTTCGATGGGTTGAAAGTTCGTTACGTTTCGAAAAAAAAGTCTGAAATTTTTTATCTGGTTTTTCATTTGGCCATCCTCTCAAAACCCAATTTAGTACTCTTGACAAAATTGGATCACGCAATGTTAATTTTGCTATTTCTGCTGCCTGAAGCGGAGGATCTTGTAAGTCCTCGGTAAACAATACCTCTAAAGGAGCGGGAACCTCAAATTTATCAGTCTCTCTTGGGAGTCTACTTAAAGAATCTGCGTTTTGAATCTTTTTCCCTGGTCTATGAATTAGAGTATACTCATATGCATTAAGTATTAAAGACCATCTCAGCATACGCGGAGACAAAATTTCTTTAGTAGGCTTATTTCTTGAAAAAATTCCTAGCAGAGGCTGATGATCAGTTATAATAGTGAATTTATGTCCATAAACAAAATGATGAAATTTTTTTTATACCGAACACAATTGCCAACGCCTCTTTGTCCATTTGCGTGTAATTTCTTTCTGTCGACGCGAGCGTACGCGATGCGAAAGCTATTGGTGCTTCGCAACCATTTTCAAGAACATGACTTAAGACAGCTCCTACGCCAAACGGAGATGCATCGCAAGCTAAAGTTATCGGTAATTTTTCATCGAACGGAACCAAAACCGCTTCGGAACTGAACAATTCTTTTAAATATCGAAAAGCTTCATCGTGGACTTTAGACCATTTCCACACTGAATCCCTATCTAGAAGCCTATGTAATACTTCAGCTTTCGTAGCTTTGCCCTTTAGAAAACTATTATAAAAGTTTATCAAACCCAAAAACGCTTGTAACTGAACTTTATTTTTAGGTACCGGAAAAGCATGAATCGCTTCTACTTTACTTTTGGAGGGGTGGATACCCTTCGCATCGATACGGTAGCCCAAAAAATCTACTTCCGTTACCCCAAATAAGCATTTGCTCCCGTTTGCTTTAAGTCCCGCTTTTCTCAAACGATCTAGTACTTGTTCCAAACGAGCGGCTAACTCTTCTTCCGAACTTCTTCTGACGAGTACATCATCAAAATATGGAACAACCCCTTCTAAATTTCGAAACAAATCTTCGATTAAATTTTGAAATATTCCTGGGGCTACGTTAATTCCGAATTGAAGTCTTTTTACCTTATACGCACCCTTATGCGTGATGATAGTCTGAGCTTCAGCGGAAGCATCATCAACCGGTAATTGTAAATATGCTTGAGCCAAATCTATCTTAGCATAATAACCTCCTCCTTTAAGATTAGAAAGAAGATGATTTACCGCGGGAATTGGATAAGGATGTGCGTTCATTGCTTTGTTTAACGTGATTTTATAATCACCGCACAAACGTACTTCACCTGACGGTTTAATCACTGGAACAACCGGTGTTGACCATTTTGGATTTGAAATTTCCTCAATAACTCCTTCACTTTGAAGTTTTGCTAGGGCGGCTTCAATTTTGGGCCTCATTGCCAAAGGCACGCTTCTTGCTTTACATCTAACAGGCGCCATATCCGAATTTATAGGAAGCGATACTGGATTACCCGTATACGAACCCAATTTGTTATCAAAAATATCATCGTAATTTTTAAGAACTTTTTCGATAATTCCAGTTCTAATTTCGTTTACTCCTGTTATTGAAATTCCTAAAGGTTCAAACCAAGAATACCCCAAAATATTCGTACAGTGATTATTTGAAATTAACAATTCTAACTTAGATTTGAAAAGGTTATGCACAACTTGAACCTTACATACGCCAGCTAGTGAAATCCCATTTTTAGAAAAGTCGCGCAGTTTAATTAAAGTTTTTTCGATCGCGGGTTTCTTAGAACGGAAAACTTTATTCAACGTTTGCAAAGAAATAATCGAATAATATGAACCCGAATCAATTTCCATTTCTAATTTTTCCTTATCAACCTCAACAATAACGTTTTTCTTAAACGGAGATTGAGAACTTAAAACATTCAAATATTTCTGTTGAACTTCTATTTCATTTGCACGCTGTTTTTCAAATTTATTTTTCTTCCGACAAACTTTTACAATGTGACCCTTAAGACCACAAGAATGGCATATTGCATTTTTGAATTTGCACGTTGAACGTTCATGTTTACCACCGCAACCGAAACACACTTTAGAATTTTGAATTTGCGATTTGCTACTACCTGAAACATTAGAATTTAGTTTACTAAATCGCGCATTATTTCTATTGTTCCTACCACGTACAAAATCAACTACATCCGAATTCTCAGAATAAGAAGAATTTTGGGTATGAATATGCTTTGATTGGGAAGCCGCAACCTCAGATGCTACTGCAACAGAAATGGCATTTTCAAGAGTTAATTTGGATTCAGCCAACAATCTTCTTTGAACCTCTTCATCACGAATACCGCAGACTAATTGATCTCGTAAACGTTCTGACAAAGTTTCTCCGAAATTACAATCTTCGGCCAGCTTTCTTAACTCAGTAACGTAAGCATTCACAGATTCTAACTTTGATTGAAATCTTTTATGAAACTTGAAACGTCGAAATATTTCTGAAGATTTAGGACAAAAATGTTCTTTTAAAAGTTTAATTATTTCTTGAAATTTAAATTCTGTAACTTCTTTTGGCGAAACTAAAGTCCGAATTATAGACAAAGTTTTAATTCCACAAACAGCTAAAAGAGTCGCACGCTTTTTACTATCATCTACGATAGAATTAGCTTCCAAAAAGTAAGTAATTTGATCAGCATATAACTCGAATGAATTTGGATTTGAAGTGTCAAATTCCTGAATAGAGCCTACCGTCGCCATCTTAGTGCGAAATTTAACTTAAGCCAGACGAAAATATCGCAAATAGAAAAACGCAATTAAACATTTAAAACACCTACCGGAAGTATTAAATAATACCGGTATTGGATCTCATGAACAACTAACTCATGGCGGGCAATCTTCTCCACAGAAATCCAGTTGATATCCAATTGCATCTTCACAAAAAATCCAATTGCAGTTGAACTTCGTCATGCCGTGCGGTCGAATTCCAATTTTCGTGAAATAGGATCAGTGGAATACGATCCCTTCTGGTCGCCACGTATTGTATTGTGAGATATAATGCCCGCGTGGGTTCGAATCCGTAGCAGTTGACTGCCCTGCAGCAATGTTCCTACAAATATTGAACAAAAAAAAAATTAAGTTGAAAATACAACTATTGCATTTTTTAAAATGCATAAAGATGTTAAAACTTTCTACTCAATTCTTACAATTAAAGTGAAATTATGACCTTTTAAAATTTCATAAAATTATTGATACCACTTTTTCAGATTTTAAACTGGTATAGTTTATGTTACCAGTCAAACAGGAGTGTATCGATGCCAACTTCTCTCATAATAAGGAGAAATTTGTATGTTTCAAGTGTTTCATTTCGTTTTTTATTTTACCACTTCCTTGAGTTAAAAATTTGACTTCTATTGATTTTTACCGTCACGACACGTACATGAAACAAAAAATAGAATATGTAACACTTAATAGTCGTGCGAAGGAGTTTTTAAGAAATATTCTGTTTGCCTTAATTATTATTTACTAACTACAAACAAAAAAATACAAACAAGCAAACTAAGTTCGAATAGATAGATCTAAGCTAAAAAAACAAAACAAAAAGGAATTAATTTCGAGGTTAAATTTGGATAATATAGTTTACTAGCTTCCCAATAACGGGAGTATATAGATTATTCGTTCAGGGCGGGCTAGAGAGGGAGGTGAATCTCAGCGATCTCCAAGTCACAGCAGAAGCGTATTGATGATCTTAAGAGGATGCTAAAAAGCGGGGGAAACTCTTCATGGCAAATTCATTTAAACTATTTTAGAAATTTAAATTCTGAAGCAAAGAAAAAATGGGTTCAGGTAGATCAAGAGTAAATTTTGAAGTTTTAACAGCTGAAAAAAAAATTTTTTTTTTTTCCTTCAAAATATATTACAGACAAATATTACTGCTGTTATGGATATGAAAAATTATCCTGTCATAGTTTGTTTGCAACTCAATATTTTTCTTTTCTTAAAAAAAAATCAGCCTTTGAAGTTTTGTAGTTTATTTACGCTCATTTTTTCTTTATACTTTTATTTTCAATAGCCAAAGTAGTGAAAGAATTATGTCTATCGTCTTTTTAAAAATAGACATATATATTTCGATAAAATAGTTTAATTGTTACTTAAATGATATAAGAAAATGCAATTTCAAAAACTTTTTAAAAAATTTCGGTTTCTATTTTTTCTGTATATTTCTAATCGGACTATGGCGAATCTTATAACTCAAAGCTATAATAATTAGACAGTTTAAAAATTATATATGACTTGGAATAAAATTATGGATTCATTTTCATGCTTACTCTATGTAAACAATCATTCTTTTATCAGTAAATAATTTGGAAAATTTTACGTGGCAAAACTGTTGGCGCACTTTGAAAGATCATGCTTGAAACGTTTAGACATGATGTCATTTTTACCCATGCGAAATTCGTACTAACCAAAACGAGGAGCTTAAGATAATAACCTATTTATGTGGCTATGATAACAGTAATTTTGTAATCTTGTTTATAGGCATATTTATAAAAAAAATTATTAAACTTCCTTCGCTCATTTTGATCGATGTAAATTTTGCATGGGTAAAAAATTTCTTAAAATTCGTCTTTTCTTAAACAGGGTGAGCTGTACGGTACGCTGTAGTGTAATAGATTGTGGTTGAATGAATTGTAAAACTTTGGGTAGAACAATGTGAAATGCACGCTTTTGGATAATGCGTGGCGAAAATTGACATGGTAAAGAAAAAAAATCACATTTTCGAAAAGGGAAAATTAAGCACTTTTTAAAAACACCCAATAAAAAAAGTACCTTTAAGGGCTTTTAAAAAACGAAAATAAGCACCTTTAGAACGTTGCGCACCATGTTAAAAGAAAGATTGTTCTAGAGTAGTATAGATTGTTGTAGAGTAGAGAAATGATTCCATAATTTTGTCCTATTCCTGTAGTTCTGGTTAATATTAGACGAATATTTGGGAGAAGAAATCTTTCATTTGAAAATTTTTTATGCTTTTTAAATTAAAAAAAAAGCTATAAAATTTGTTTACCATTTCATTTAATAAAACATATTTATTAACTTTTAAATCATCCAATATAATCCATATTCCTTGTTTGTATCCTTCAAAAGTTTTTAATGAAGCATTTACTGGAATTTAATAAAATACTAGTGAATGCTGATAAATGCATTATCTTATCTTATTATTCTTGCGATTACGCAAATGCACGTTCTTTCAACCCACGTCATGGGGAGAAATCGAAAATTTTAAAAATTATTTTAAAAAAAAAGTATCAGCAGTCTTACCCATACTGTTTCGAAAAATTTTCTCCGAGTTTACTTTCATTGTCACAACCCAGAAACAATAGGAAATTTTGTACATTTCTAGAGAAATGTTTAATGAACATTCGGCTATAAAAATGTTAAAAGATGTGGTAAATTAGATTTTTAATTATTTTAAGTCAAAGTTGAACATTTCTTTTTTTGCACCACGTAATTTTTTTTAACGAAAAACATTAGCAGGAAAATTATGATTTTATTTTTCTTTACATCCACGTATGCTTGAAAATGCGTAACGCGTCTCACATTGTTTAAATTTTGAATAAGTTTTGAAGCGATTAAATAATTTCCATTGTCTGTTTTTCGATGCCAAGGAAAAACTAATAGAAGTAAAATTATAATTTTTTGACCTTTTTTAAAATTTCATATTAGTTTAGGAACATTTAAATTTTGATTACTAAAAAATACAATCACACAACGATTATAAAAATTATATTTTCCCCTGTCTTTAGTCCACAGCCAACTTCTCTCCTATTAAATATAAAAAAGTTTTCAGATTATTTTGATTAGGGTTCGATGTTAATATTTATGTAGGCTAATTATCAGGAGTTGGAAACTAATTATTATTTTTCACTCTTTCCCCCCCCCTCCTCGGCGAAGTAATGTCTATAGTTTGTCTACGGTAAGAACTACCCCCCGCTACAAAGTCTGAGGACGTCTGCTGCTATGGAAACAAGAATAGCGCATTTCAGAGAAGGTATAGTTTGTCTTAGCTAAGAACTCCTCCCGCAACAAAGTCTGAGGCCGCCTGGTTCTATGGAAACAAAAATGGCGCATTTTAGGGAGCGTAGCTTCACTCTAGGACTAAAACAATAGACCGGAAAAAAATGTTCCATTTTTTTCGCCGACACGAGTCAAAACCTCTCCTAAAATATTGTCCCACTCGAAATAGTTATACTGCGTTACAATAGTCACCGTCACGGGTCCAGACAAAAGGCATACTTACTTATCCGCGTTGGTTGACTAGTTTACGCAATGATTAATTTTGAAAATCTTTCCACCACTTTTTATTATTCCTTAAATTTGGTATCACATTTACCTTTCTTAATAAATTAGTAAGTTTATGCAATGAATTACTTCAAGGTAGCACGATTGCGGAGCGATGCTTTTCGTAAATCAGTTTCTACGAGTGTCAAAAATTTGGTTTCAAGGTTTTGGTATTTTTGCACGCTAAATCGAAAGACATAAGAAATTGTTCCGTTTCTCGATTTAAAATAAGCTTACCTCGCCACAGTTAGCAGTTATATATAATTTAAGGATTTCTTTGAGATATTATAAAACTCTACAAAATGAAAATCCGACCAACTATTTAAAAGTTATGAAGGTAATTTTTAATAGATGACTACACATAGAGAAAATTAAATAGCAAATGAGGACAAACAGGTGAACTTTTGATTAGTGGGACCTAATCGAATCGAAAAATATTATTTTTCGAGTTATCATGCATTAACTCTATACTGTTGTTGTTGACATATGCCATTAAGGAAGAAGGAGTACAATTGTTCTTGTTTACCAGTGGTGCCATCTATGGCCGAGAATTCAACTTCTGCCACACCCATACGTCACACCCGTTTATAGGGCAGACCCATTCATACATCCATTCATTCATCCACAGATCGTAATTTTGACCTGAATCAGAGAACGATCAATCTCCAATCCAGTACCCCCAGAGGTATCGATTTGTTATGGGAACATGGAGGACTTTGAAACTCGACAGATTTAACGTGCATCAGTCACCATTTACTACACGGAGAGTCTTCGGCCGGCAGGGATCGAACCAACGACCTCTTGGACATGGACCCAATGCCCTACCAAACAGACTATCCTGGCCCAACTCTATACTAATTTGTTAAATTAACCAATTAATATGTTATGCTTTTCGTGTTTATGTAACTAAACGACTTTTCCTGTCATTCCATTACCATTCTAAAAAATTCTTACAAAAAGAGCATATGTTTGCAGATATGAAACATAAATTACCATAGTTCTATAGAAATGTCCGGTGTGTTCTCGACAAGGCATGCACCTGAGAGTCTTCATTGTAATAGCTTAAAAACGGCCCAAATTAACTAAAGGCTTGATAACGCTGTGGAAAATTTTTTGTTGCATTTATACAAGTTCTTGTTCTTACCTAATTCGAGCGTGGGAATTTCAGCTTTGAAATTAGTTTTGTACCAAAAGCTATAGATTTTTTTCCCTTCAAAATTGTATTTTTTTTGTTTAGTTTATTTATTTATTTATTTTTTTTTGTCTAAACATTGTACAAGTTTACATTCTGTGTGTAACATTGTACAAGTTTATAAAGAACCTATTGTATAGGTTTATATACATACACACAGATTTGTCAGCTCCATCGAAACTGACTTTTAAGCCAAAAAAACACATGATCTGAACATATCGTATCCTAAACTAATATGTTTTATCGTCTTCTTCATACTACTCCTTACGTAGCAGAAAAGTTAGGGCACTTGGTACTTACTGGAGTGAATTTTAAAGAATCTTGGTTAGGAATACATTGAGTTGCATAAAAGCTTTTAGAAAAAAACCGGTAGCAGACTTGAAATCAGCGACGTAAAAATACTTAATATCCATTCAAAAATCCCATGCTACAGAAAAAAAAAGATCGTTCTTCATTGTAATTGGATGCCTGTAGGTGACGCCATCCTAGATAAATCATGTCATTTGTTGATTCGGAAGCCAATTAGGTATAACACACACGTGTGACGTCGCTTATATGTATCCAATTAAATTTTATTTAAATTAGAGGGTTAAGCATAAACACTTAACTTCTCGAGTTGCAATTACCCAATAACTATTTTATATGTAGAATCCTTTTTTATAAACAAAAGAAGCAACTAGATCTTTTATAAAACTTAGTCTATCAGTTATGAAAACCAGATGATAATCTAATCTCTTTGCTCTCTGTCATGAACCATTCCCGACTATTGCTTTTGACAAATGATTTTCTTCATAGTAAAATTGCTTTTGAAAAATGACTTTCATCCCCCATCATTAACGAAAACTTGTAAAATGTATCGCTAGCAGGGGAATATATACATGTTTCATCAAACTGTTTAAAATTTCCTACTTTTTAATTTTAGGAAGTTCGTCATTTTTACATAGAATATGTGATTTTTTACAAAAAATGTAATTAATCTTTCAAAATCAATCCTTTCAATATTTCAAAATAAAATTAGACAGTTTCAAAACATTCAGCCGTCGATCATTCAAAAAATTAAAAATTAGCACAAAAAAATAACCTTTTTAACAACTGCTTAATAAGTATAACAAAATTTTACAACTCATTCTAAAAAAAAATTTATTACAATTTTTTTCTAACAAAATTTTTTTTAAACCAAATTTAGTTATAATCCATAACTTTAATACGCGGTATTTCTTTTGAAAAATTTTAGTGATCTAAAATTAATATTTTTTTTTCTATGATTAAGATGCAGCCAAGAAGCAAAAATTGACTTTAACAATTAAATTTAACTAGGAGGCTCCGCCCCCTGCTCGCTAACGCTCGCCAACCCCCGAGAATTGCTACGAAATCCTATGTGGTTCACGCCGTGAACCATGGCTCGCTGCGCTCGCTCGCCAATGAACACAATGTTCTAGCACAAAGACATAATATATTATCATCAAAGACATAGTATTTTATCATCAAAGACATAGTATTGTACTTATGTAGAAGAATTCTACCAATGTTCTTATTGACTTTTAAAAAAGTATATTAGCTATTTAGATTGTACATGGTGAAAAAATCAAAACATTAGCTAAATAAGAAACATATTAGCAAAATAAATTATCAAATATTGCTTCACTAATATTCTGCATTTTAAAGCGTGAAAATTCAATGCATAAATAAACGCGAAATATAAAAAAATTCAATGCATTCAATACAAACACTTAAACGTTTTTTAGACGTTTAGGTAGCTCCCAGTAGAAAAATATCAATTCAACAGCGGCCTTTTAAAGCATTCTCACTTCAATTAATTAATTAATTCCTAATTGAGTTTAAATTAAATATTGTCATGTTTTTAGTGCATGAATCTGAATTGAACAACCTGATAATGCTCACTCTGGTTATTGTTATCTGGTTGCTCACTACGTGCTCTTGCGCGCCGAATCCAATCAATTAAAAATGAAAACTGTTGCCAGCGCGAGAAAAGAAATATCATCGGTTTTATTGATACATACATACGTACGTATTAGCGTTTTATATAATATAGATTAATTTTTAGTAATATCTTAATACATAGCTAAAAAATATTTATATATATTATATAAATTACACTGTATTGATATTGAAAATTTACTATAAATATTTAACTATGAGGCAACAGAAGTTACGTTTTACACATTAAAATTGGCCTTAATAATTTTTTAGTAAAATAATTATTTTTATTAATTAATAAAATTTTTATTAATTTCATAATGGTGGTAGCTGAAGATTTCTGGATATATATGCATGATTATCTCTTTTGCTTGTCCAATAAGAATCAGCACAAAGACATTTTATAATTACGAGACCGAATCAGCCATTTCGATACTATTTCATTGTTACTGAATTAGTGATAAAATGGGTCGAATCCTTATTTTACTATTCACGTCAAATGACATAGATAAGAAAATGTAACTTATTACAAAATATCTTACAAAAAAAATAGCAGAAAACAACAGAATTCGTCGAAAAAGCACCAAGCAAGTCAAATGAAGATTACATACTGAGACATTTAAAATCGAAGAAGTTCATATATTTTGTGAAAAGAAAACTCAATCTTTAAAAGGAAAGGCAAATGTCGCAAGTTAGTTCGAGTATTGAATAAGTTTATAAATCCACCCAAAGGAAAGTCTCAAGTTCGGGAAGAGAAGAATTAACCCCTTTACGATCGGTTATTTTTCAAGAAAACGGTCATAAAAGTGATTATTTTTTTTATCAGTGCTATTTGATTAGTGCTGACATCTAGTTTAAAATAAACTAACTATCTACAATTACTTTAAAAATATCCTGATACTGCCATCTGGTGTGTAAAATGAGAAATAAAATGTTTTCCGGGCAAAAGAAATGAATTAGTTTTATTCTTATTTGCGCGTTACTTCTGAACACTCCAGCCCGAAAATATCATGGGAGCGAGAAATAGAGGACGAAACCTCCCCCCGTCACTTTGGAGAACGAGAAGGAAGGGGTTAAAAGTAACGATATTGAAATAAAATTAAACGACACAAAACCGAACTGATTGGAAATATGACCAGGCACTGAATTATGTTCCAAGGCCAACCGACCGAACCTTCAGTGCTATCTATGGTGGTCCGACCATAGCATAAAGCTTTTTCTGATCATAATCACTGAATTTAACTAGATTAGAGCTGTCAAAAAAGTTTAAAATAAAATGTCCATTTCCAATCAAAAAATTGTACAGATATTTAAATTATTTTTAAAAAGTTTATATTTTTGATTGTTTGCTTTGTCGTTTGATTATTAGTACATGTTCGATGAAAAGTGCTGTCTCCAGCTGTTTTTTATCAGATATTATTTTCTTACAGTTATCCGTTCTATTTAAGTTCAATTGGCTTCAATGTTTTAATGAATATGAAGAAATTAAAAAAGAAAAATTTCATTCTCAAGTTTATAATCTTCCTTTTTAATCACCAAACACTATCAATGATATTTCTTATGAAACGATAAATGTTAGTTTGAGCATTATATGGCTGCATACAATTAACTTCGAACCAAAAATTTTTTAAACTTGTTACAGGTTAAAAATCTGAACGTTAAATCTGTCGGGTCACAAAGACCTCCATGTTCTCATAAGAAATTATACATCTCGGGGTACTAGATTGGAGATTGATCGTTCTCTGATTGAGGTCAAAATTATGATCTGTGGATGAATGAAATGGTTCGGCCCTATTAACTGGTGTGACGTATGGGTGTGAATTCTTGGCCATAGATCGCACCCCTAGTGCCTTAATGGCCGCCTACAACATTATTATTTTTTGAGATAGAAAGGAATGAAAATAACTAAACCTGTTTGATTGCCAAATGTAAATAAAACCAACTAATTACAATTCACCAATTAGTTTTCTCTAGCAATCAAACGGGTTTGATACTTTCAATCTCTCCTTAAATGTTAAAAAGTTTGTAAACATTTTTGCTTTTTAGTCATATTTCACAGAATTACCATGTATACTTTAAGAAAAAAGAACGCATGTAAGATTTAAATTTTATTTCAACTAGTCTTAAAACAGTTATACAATAATTTTGACATAACAATAAGAACACTTTTGGCTCTTTATTTTATCACATTTAAAAATGGCTAAACATTCATTACTCCCTTTGCGAGTGAAGACATATATATTTATTTACTTAGCTACACATCATAGTCAATTGTAGCAGCTCAACTTTACAATGGCTTATTAAAAATCTACATTTTGATTAAATTACTCATAACATGTTTCTTCTTTATCACTGTTTCTACCAAAACCATTTTTAATAAACTGCAGTTAATGTTTAGAATTCACACATTTCAATAAATTCATGAAACTTTTTACAAAATAATCATATACACAAAAGGGCTAGATAACTAATGGAATGTCCAAGCATTCAAATTATTCTTTCATTCACTGTCGTATAAAGTTTGAAAATTTATTATTAAAAAGAATAACCATATATAAACTTTATAAATATCATAGTTCTTCAAACTATTATTTTCCCTTTTAAAAAATAGTTAAAACATTTATATTAAATAAGATTACAATGATAGTAAACAAGTTATTAAATAACATTGTGTAGTTAAAATGAAACGATATTAGGGACCTTTCAATTATTATGCAAACATCTAAGGAAAGGAGTAAGCTATTTACTTACTGAAGTGAAAAAGTTGCTCATCTCCCAAAATATGTCTATTAACATTTAAATGGCCCTTTAAAACAAAATAGAAAGAAAATTTTTTTAAAAAAGGTGAAGTAGATTTTTGTACCATTAAAGTGTTTAATCTTATTCCTGCAACAACAAAAGACTTAACAAAAAAAATTAAATAAATGTAAGTAAATATTGTACTGAACTTATTTAATTTTTTTATTAATTCAGTCTACAATAAATTAATATTCTGTAATTTTTTTTAATATTGCAGTTAGTGATTTAACACTAACTATAATTTAAAAAAAGATTTCATACGAAAGATTGCTCGAATACAATATTAATATATGAAATAAATTATATTATACAAAAAGCAATAAAATCCCCCCATAATGTAACATATATAAATTGACAATTTTAATAAACCTTCATAAAATTCCATGCACCATAAAATGTTCAATAAAATTTCAATGTAAATATAATTTCAATATTTATAGAAAGACTAGATAAGCTTATTTTCACAAGATTTAATAAAACTAAAAGAAAGAAAAAAATTTGTTTCAACTAATGCAAACACAAAAGTCAACATTAACTCCTTCAATAAAGTTAAACATGCAATGAACAATAAAAATGAAAAGGAGTAAAAAAATATGTAAAATAAAATTAACCTTAGTAAAATGGTTATTTTATAAATGCAGAAAAATGAAATACTCAGTATTAAAATGTTCTCATATCTAAATAAAATTTACATTAATCACAGCATACACAGCTTTGTATCTTAAAAGAACGCACTGTATAATATAAATACAATGATTTGATTAACTCTGCATGATTAAAAGCTCGATCATTTACACAATTCATACAGACTGCTAATCAAATCTTATAAATGGTGTGGTAAAGCAGATTCAAATTTTACATACTTCCAGATTAAAAAATAATATATATAAAATCATACTATGTCTTTATGAGTTCAAATTAAAGAGTAAAACAACTATAATTTTGGAATTAAACATTATTTTTGAATAAAATTTCAATTCTGTACCTTGTACTGAATTTTTTAGTATTATTAAATTATGCATTTTTACTATGCACAGTTACAATATTTAAAGACATCTAAATATATAAATTCTGTTCTGAAGCTTTTCTATGTTTAATTTACAGCATATGAGACGCAAGTCAATTTGCTTCTTAGAAACAATGTTTCTAAGTTTTGAATCGAATAAATCAACAAAAAGGTTTACTGTTGCAACAATTTAAAATAGATATTAAATTATTACAATTTAAGAAGTTGGAAATAATGATGAGGATTACAAATTTTAGTGAATTACTTCATACTCATCATTTAGAGTCATAGGAACTTAAATCAGTTTTGTTTTAATAATGTAACCAATTTTCATGAACCGAAATAGTTTTATTATAACATAACTGTCAATATATGAAATTCGGCATACAATAAAATGATTAATCATTATCAAGAGTGCCTAAAAAAGACAAAGTATGAAATTATTAGAAATTTCCCACACTGCCTAATCATTGTATATAATGACTAATGACAAACCTGCAGGCATTCCATAAAATGACAAGGCAAGGTATATAATTCTTACAGTTCATAAATTGTCTGAAAATCCCAGTCACTAGGCCTTCTATAGAATATCGGCATTTCATTCATTGATGGCAGTACATAGGTTGCAAATGATGAGATAGAAGTAATACCATATTAATTATGTCTTAACACACACCATAAAGAATATCAACACATTGTAACAGATCTTGTATACTAAAACATATAACCATCAAGAGATATATTTAAGTAATACATTTAATGTAACGTTTATTAAAAAACAGCAATAAAATAAATTAATACATCAATTCAAAAAGTTTTTTTAAAAGAATATTATGCATTATGGACTCGCTAAAAAGTGCCATAGTGGACAGATAATAGTGATACAAGAACACAGTAACCATTTTCTGCAAATGTACAAGCTTTTATATAATATTAGCAGCACTGTAACTTATTTTTGTACTATAAATGAACTGTTATCTGGTAAATAATTTAGGTCTTCCTTTTCTTGGTCTAAAAACTTTAAATCATGTGCATCACAGTAAACGCTTGATAATGGGGACAATTCCAGTGACTTTGCCTCTTTTGCAAATCTAAAAAAAAAAATTTTAACATTTAAACTTCGCACAAAAAAAAACAATTGAATTAGATTTAAAAAGCAAAGAGCTTAGATTTAGAAGTATCAATGTGATTAATATTTATAATTATTTTCCTTTTAATTAAAAAAAAATCATGCTTTTGAAAGCCTTATTTGAATATGTAATGATTTCAAAATGTTGAAACAAATGTTTAGGGGTAGTATAGAAGAATTTAGAATATATTTGCAACACAAAACCAAAAATACAATTGCATGTTATTAGGTGGTGCAATGACTGTAACGCTATTGTGGACCTGCAGTGATTCCCTGAGACTATGGAAACAACAGGTACTGAAAACCCCAAGACTTGCATTATTCTCGGTCCCTTTTTTTAAAAAATTTAAAGCAGGTTCCTATTTAAAATATGAATTCTCAAACTCTTTATTCATCAATTACTATTACTATTTTTGATCTATTGATAGGCAGAACAAATAATTTCAAAATAAAAAGAGTTATATTTTAAAAAAAAAGGCTTTTTATCCACAGATCAAACACCGGCCTGAAAGGAAAAGCAACATTGTAATTTGATTCTCAGAATTATTCTAATTTTTACCTCCAGCTGTTAATAAAGAAAAAGAAATTATATAGATATATGTATAGATAGTTAAAGTTTAGTTATAATTTTTATAACGCATAGCATAAATCAACTGGCATGCTACTTTTTTCCACACTGAAAAACTACACATCCCTTCTAGAGTTTTTGGCATATTCGATAGGTTACAGTACATAAGTGGAATCACTGCAATACTACATAAGTTCAGTTGCCATATTCCCAGTCTGATGAATTGAATCTTAATTATTGTCGGGAGTTTTCAAAGCTATCAACATCATATACTCTGAGCTAACAATATGGAAAGAAATATATGACCTAGATTCAATAATCATCGATGTTAGGTATGCATAGCATGTGATGATGCAAACTTTGTATATGTGTTGTATTATGAATTGTATTAATCTAGTATGCCATTTAGAGTTAAAATGCACAATAAATTTTTTCTACTAATCACTCTCTTGTTTTCTTTCAGAATTTTTACACCTCTGCAAGCACTTTACTCTGACATTTTAAGTGGTGGGTTGCTATGCAGTTTTCAATGTTAAAGATTTATAAATACCTTCTATAAGTTTTTCGTTACATTTTTAATATTCTGTATATAACACATATTTTAAAATTTTAACAATAAAATTTTTCACACTAATGAAAACAATTGATTAGCCTAGATGCAATGCCTGTTTACATTTTTAAGGGAAAAATTGGTAGAAGGGAAATGTGATATTAAATTATAATACAAGCAGGGGTCTGTCCAGGCCAAATTTACTGCCGTTTAGCGGTACCTTCACAAATTCAACTTTGGGGAAACGGTAGTCTCACAAAATACTTTTTCTTAAATTTTTTTTTTGTATCCTGTAAGAAACGATAAATCCCTATTTTTACCACATTTTTGTGTTGATTTTTTAATATTCACAAATCATGTCTAAATTTTCACAAAATAGGTACCTCACAGAAAAACCTAAACAGACCCTTGACAAAGCATGCTAGGATTTTCTTTCAGATATTCAAAATATTAAGCTAATTAAAACTGAAAAAAATAAATAAAAGCTAGGTAGGATACATTTCACTAATTTTCTTTCTAAAACCTGTTTAAGAATACATAATTATATTGAGCAATAATGATACTACATTTAATAAACAATACAGAAAATCAAAAGCAAGTTCTTAAAACTTATTCACCATAGTATAATAATTTAAATGATTAAAGCATTAATCAATACATTTCTTTTCTTATAAAAATAGTAATTTTTTTAAATAGAAAATTTAATAAATTAAAATCCACCAAGTCTTGATACAAGTTTTCGAATAAAAAGTTTTTATTATAAAAAATAAAATTTTGCATCACTTATGCATATTGAAGAAAAAAGTTAAATCAGATTATATTCAGTTCTAACAAGCAGCTGAAATGGAAAATTTAGCCTGAAACAAAAAATATAATTTTTTTCCTCTCTTAATGTCAAAAGTAGCTTATAAATTAGTAAAAGTAACTTGTAAGAATTACTTTTAAAATACGTAAAAGTAACTTGTAAAAATTACTTTTACAATAAGTTTTAGGAAATGATACCAAAACTAATTAAAATTTGATAAAAAAAAATTAAAAAAATTATTACATTTAAAAGAAACTATAGTATAAGATCTCTATAATGAAAACCTTGAAACCAGAGACTTTCTGTTTTATGAAATTTAGTGTTATAAATTATTTCAATTATCTTTAAACTTACTTACCAATTGGCAATGTTATTCTGGAGAAAATCAATTGTATAATGCTTTAAAATAATTTTTAAATACAAATACTACTTAAAAACACAAAATTATGCACTCAAGTATTTATTATTTAGATTAAAAAAAAAAAACATGATATTTTCTACAGCATTAGAACTAAGATCAAATTGATCAATTTTGGTTAGTTTTTCTTTCGAAATTCTAACTTTATACCAATTAATTTATTCTTTTTTGTAATAGAAATTTCTTAACTGCAAATTTCATTGCTTACATCCACAAAGCTAGAGTAGTTTGTGGAGAATTGCAGTTTAGAAAAGTGCATTATATGGATCATCAACTGCAGCAAAAAAAAAAGTAGATATAATATTTTTTTTTTTATATCAAAATATTCAGGAAAATGTTAAAAGCAGCTTTTAAATTACAATAATAAGTAACTCAGAAGAAAATTTTTACAGTTACAAATGGGCACTTTGCAAAAGGTAATAATAATAATGTTAATTACAATTAATTTTGAATTCTACTGACATTTTTGCTGTACGCATTTAATATTCACTACTTATACAAAAAAAAAACACTAACATTTTATGTACATATAGATTGAAATTTAAAAATCAAGCTTATTTTAATCATTTCTAATCCAATGATTTTATTGGAGTATTGATTTAAAAAAAAAAAAAAGAATGACACAAGGATAAATTATATTTGAATTCAATATACCACCCCCTAAAATTTGCAAGATAAATATATGAAATTGGACAGTGAATTCCATCTTTTCAATCAAAATGATATGTTCAGTACTAATACAGGACTGTGGGCTTAAACCACAACAGGTTTAATGATTAAGTTGTGGGGAAAACTATTAGAGTTGCAATCCCATAGCTATGCAATTTTGAACAATTTACTACATTATGTGTAAAAAAAAATAACATTTTGTCGCAAAAATACTTTATAAAACAGGGATGAGATTAGCCAAAAGGCAAAAAAGCTGAATTTCCACAATAGTAAATTTTACGCAAGCGCAACCCTTTAATAATAAATTTCAGACAGTTTAAGGTAATAAATAATGTGTTGACATACAATTGGTACTAATAAATTATTATATAAATGATTACATTTATACTTAACATTTAGTGAAAATAAAAATTACCAATTGAAAAAAAAAACCTGGAAATTATATTTTTCCTCAGTTCACATAAGAGACAATTATTACTTGAAAAACTACCTGGTTTAGCAAATTAAAACTACTGAGAATATACATTAATATTTCATTTCTTTTAATAAATACTGTTATGTGATTTATAGCAAATATATCAGTAATATTACTTTTTAAATTATATTGGAAAAAAAAACTTTAACAATGGACCGAATCATTATGTTCATATTATAGTCTAATCTAACTAGAGCCCTCTGAAACATATCAATAACAGTGAAGTAGAAATATATAGTAACTCCTTAACATACAAAAATTGCTATTTTAGTTTGAAAAATTACATGACAATCAGCAACTGTTTAGATAATTGTTTTTTATTTGATAAGAATTTTGCATTTTATAGCATAAATAACAGCAATTATAAATAAAATTTTGATGATGAGTTAATTAACTCTTTTTCCCCCAAAATTTTTTTTTAATTAAATCCCTTTTTAAGTGATTGCTTTTGTTTGCTATATCTTTTATGTTTGCTATATTTAGTCGTTAGTCCATCTTCAAACATCTTGTGACAAATCCTATTTTTTCTTCTTTGCAAGCACAGAATGTAAGTTTTGAATATATTCCCTTCCAGTTTCTCTGATGTTGTAACACTTACATATACTAATAATCGTCGTTAGAAAAACAGTCACCTTTATAGTAACTAATTTTAAAAAAAATTTACTTCTTACAAGAATCGCGATAGTTGATCTTAAAATTGCGTGAATATGAATAACAATTATGGATTTTGAAATCACATGAATATGAAACTAGATATACGATTTTGAAAATGAGAAAATACAAACTGGGATATAGAATTTTTAAAACGCGTAAATACAAATCACGATTCATAATTTTTAGATCGCGTAAATACGAATCATGATGCGGAATTTTTAGATTGCATAAATAAGAATTATGAATTTTTAGAGTGCGTGAATGCGAATCCCAATGCCTTATTTTAAAATAACGTATAAATACGAAAATCAATGTTTGATATTATAAACCGCATGAGCAAATCAAGACATTGAATTTTAAACTTGCGTGAATATGAATCGCTACATAGGTTTTTAAAAAGGCGTAAATACGAATTACAATATCGGATTTTTAAATCTCGTAAATAAGAATTGCAATATACAATACTCAAATAACGTGAGTCAGAATCGCAACACGCAAATATGATAAGTTATGTTTGATATTAAAATCGTGTGAATGAGATCGAGATATTAGCAGATTTTAGGCTTGGGACCTCTAAAAGGCTTGTCAGAAGCAGCGTCGTTTGAACTACAAAAATCGGATCTATCTGGAGGGCGGGTAAAAAATTCCGAAAATGTTATTTGCTGCGAGTAAACGGAGAGAAAACAGCTAAAATAAGTAAAAATGAGAAAGGTTTGGTAGCTATGCAGTTTGAATTTTCTGTTTCTCTTTGAAAATCGGTAAATTTTCGGAAAAAGCGGAATACTTATTAAAAAAATGAAATTTTTAGAAAAATCTGAATTTTTGACAATAAAGCTGAAATTCAAGTGATAAAAGTGAAAAAAGCGGAAATCCGCTAAAAAGCGGAAAAATCTCATCCCTGATAAAAACGTAAGAATTTTTTTTTTTTAAATATTTGAAAACATATTTTTAGGGTGGATAAATAAGTTTTAGGTTCTTAATTAATCTATTTTTTGTAAAAATTTTAGCAATATTTAGGTCTTTCACTTTAGTAGTACAAGCATCAAAATATTAGATTACTTTTTCTAACAATAAAATATTACCTTATCCAGTGCTTACATTTGCTAAGAATATTATCAGGTAATTATTCTCTTTATTTTCTTATGTTTACTTTTAAACATCATGCATATAAAATAATTTTACTTTACATTGGCTCAGTTAATAGTCAAAATTGGCCTTTTTGGTTAGAAAAAATAAATTCCTAAAATATTAGAAAAAATTATTGTAATAATTTAAGTAACTTCTATTTCAAGATAAAACAATATATTTACCTTAAAATTTTTATTGGGAATTAAATATAAACTTATTTGCTGCCAGATTTCATAGAAATTATTGTCAATACTTCAGATATAATTTGTTATACATTAGGAAAAAAACCCATTAGGAGACACATTTTTTAAAGTAACTCAATGTGGATAATTTAAAATCAACCTCTAAAAAATTTTCAATTTCAGAAGAAAAAAAATTTGGAAAATAAATATAATGTTAAAAAAGTTAAGTTTTTTAAAAGATTCTTTAAAATCATGAAACAAGAACTTAATAAATTAACAAGAGTAATATTATAAAAAAACAAAGCAAAAGACAAGATATATATATTTGTGAAAAAGGATAAGAAAATTATGTGCTTCAGTGTTTTGTATAAAACAAGTTATATGTCAGGAACATGCTTTCCTAAGTTTTGGTAGCTTACAAAAGTCCAATAAAAAACATGCAATTAGGTATAACTTTACAGGTTCAAGATAACATTTCAAACATTTTGTGCTTTATAAATTCTGTTAAAAAGGATTCATATATTTTATAAACTTTAGGATAAAAAAAACCCATTCAAGTTGTTTAGTCAGTTTCCTCATTAGAACGAATATCAGGAATTTTGTTTTTGTTTTGACAGAGGCATACAACCAGAAAGAAAGACGGATGAAGGTAGAGATTTCCAACTACCTAAAATTACTAATGAATTGACAATTTGGAAAATAATAAAATTTTTTGAAAGTTTCGCATTTTGAAAAATATGATTTTGAATGAATTTAAATATTTTGATGGATAGTATTCATGTGTAGGATTAGAGTAAGAAGAGATGAAATTTCTGGTTAGTATTCCATACATAAGGAAAGAAAAAAATTAGATACATCTTCTTTAGATTTGTTATATATGTATGTGCATAATTTAAAACTATACACACATTAAATAATGATAACCACAGCAATAATACTATAATGAAAGTTATTGCAGAGCAGCGCTGGTTTGAATTTTAAAATATATATCTATAACTTTGTTAATATATAGCTATATTTTTGAATTTTATTAATCTAAAATTTCATTTAAATTAATAATAAAATGAGCAATAAACAAAATAAGAAAGAAATCTTTACGCTTTTAAAAATATAGCTTATTTTATAAAACTGTGATTTTTTCCAAAGGATCTTTAATATTTAAACTTTTTACTTTTATGATAGACAGTTTATTAAGCAATGAAAGTAGACAATTTTTTTTAAATACACTTCTTTACAGCACATATAACTATCATTTATTCTATTTTTTTTCTGAACTGTCTCATTAAATATTAGATGATCTGAATTAAGAAAAACAATCAACTCTTGATTTAAATGTGAAAGAAACAAATTTTAAAACCTTGTGATTTTAAAAGTTATTGAATAAGTAAATTACTTCTAAATAGTAGTGCTTTGATATTTTAATATCACATCAGTAGCAGCAAATAAGATATTACAGCAAATAAAATTCAATTCACATAGCATAAATTAATTACATAAATTTTTTTAAATTTTGCTTAGAAAATTTCTAAAATAGTAAGTTTTACAAAGAAAATATTGAATTTCAATAATAGTTCTTTAAAAGACTAACATTTAGCAAACAATACAAATTAAAAAATATTTCTGAAAATAAAATTATTTAAACAAAACTGATACCCAACCCTTCTTGTTAAATTTAATACTTGGATAAGCTTGCATATCGTAACTTACAAAATCGATACTTGCAAAAGAGTAGGAACATCAGTTCTGAGTTTTCCACTCTTTTATGGTATTATCCATAACCTACCCTTAAAAAATAAAACAATTAATTCTTAATTCGTTAAATTACATAAAATTTTGAACCAAGAAAATAAAATACATTTTCTTACCATTAGTTTTCAGACTCATCACTGCATGCAAAGGATGGGGAGCAAGAAAATATGCAAAAATCAGTACATATGACTAAAAAAATTGCAGTGTTAATACATGAGTGTATAAAAAAAATTCAGTTCATTATCAAACAATGCAGGTTAATGAAATGTGTTAGTCAAAATTTTTTTTGTGTGAACAAGTTTTAAAAATTAACGAAGATTAAATACTGAATTAAGAAATAAAATGCAGTACAAAAAATACACTAGATGAGAAAAACAAGCAAAAAGTTTAAAGAAAACATGCTAAAGAGGCCGTCCACATATAATGTCATGTTTGGAGAGGGTAAGTTAAACTGAAACATTTCGTGACAAGGGGTTGAAAAGGAGTAATAGGGATGTGATAAAACCCATTAAAATTATAGTCTTATTTCATGCACACACAAACACACATACAAAAAACATTTAAATTAACTGATCGTTATGTCATGATGCTTAAAATTAAAACTTCAAATTTAATTTATAAAGTAGTGCTAAGTTTCAGAACTGCAATTCGAAACCCTACAACTACTACAAATTTCTGCAGTTTCTGAAAATATTTTTTATAGTAGTATCAACAGTTATTTGATAATACTCTAATAAATTAGAAATGAAATAATTTTGCCACCACAACATACAAATGGTTCAAACAAATATATCAAAGATCAAATAATGAAAAGGTATGCTCTAAAGCCTTGATAATTCTGTATAAGAATTCTAATTGTTTTAAAAATTGCCACTAACAGTGGAAATGGTATTTTATATAAATCTCAAATTTTGGATTGCATATGTTTATGCAATACAGTGTGACAAAAGAGGAGTAAACATTGAAATGCAACAAATCATATAGAATATTTTATTTTCATTCTGAATATGGCAATTAAAATTTTTGAATTGAACAGGGTGATGCATATTAGTAAAGCATGCATTAGAGTACAAATAAAAAATTAAAGTTGAAAAACCAAAAAAGTGAAACAAAGTAACAAACTAATATTGCTTTGAAATTAAAATAAGCGATTAAGGAAAATTTCAGCGGAAAATTCATTTCCCCCATAATACACTAACACATCATACACTAGAAAATATAGCTATGCTGTAGGACACAGAAGCTAAGATCTGTAAAGCTACAAATTCTCATTAAATGCACAACTAATGTTTAACAAATACTTAGATTATTATATTAAGCAACATATAACAAAATATTTTAAAGTTTATATTAATAGCATTGCAATAAATATGTAAATGATTAAATAAAGTAGAAAAGAAATCTTTTAAACAATTTTATTGCATTTCATATTCTCTTAACTTTTAAATTAAAGCTTTCATTTAGCTAAAATTAATTGGCATTCATACTACAAAGAACTATATAGTGATTTTCTGAAATATCCTAATATCTAAATCTTAATCAAATAACTTGCTTAACTTTAACATATTTCACTTATAAACTCTTATAGCTTATAAACTAATTTGTTTCTTCTTATAGCACAAACCTAAAATGCTTTTTCATAGTTTAATTAAGAACTGAAGTGTAAGATATAAAGGTAGCTTACATACAATAAAGGTATATTCAATGAATTGATTAATTGTGTAATAAAACTGATTAAAGAAACCTATTAAAAAATCACTAAATCCATGTGCATCATATTCAAATTTCCTATTTAAGCTTCAATTGTATCTTTTAGTTTAAGCTTCAAATTCAGTTTACAACATCATGTAACATTATTTTGGGCTCGAACTGTCATTTCTTTTTATCTTGAGTTTAGCAGAGTATAGCCATATGCCAGTGGACAAAAAACTGGCAGATCATTGGAAAAATTACTAATTTTTTTCTTCCCCTTATTGTTTATTGACACTGTTGTTATTAATATTGTTTATTGACACTGTTGCAACATTTATATTCAACGCTGATCAAAATAAATCAAATGTTATCATTATAGCAGTCCTGCTAAATTATTAGAAATAGAATATCAGAATATCAGCAGGATTAACAAACAATTAAATTATATAAATAACAGGAATGTAAGGTTAAAAAAAATAAAAACTCTAGTAGAGTTTATACACCTTATAAAATATAATAATTAAAAGAACGCAATCCAGATGCAAAACCTACTAATTGTGCTATAAAATATGGACAAGGTAATTACAAAGTGTTAAGCAGAAATTTCTTTTAAAAAACTGAAATTTAAAGTTAATAAAAATTTAAACAAAAATTCATCATGTGTTCACAATTACCATGAAGAAAAATTTAACGGGGCAGTAATTAATTGATTTTTTTTTAACCGCAGAAATAATATCAGAATGCAAATAATTAAAAAATTATTAACATATGAATTAAAGAAGAATAGTGCTATATATTTTAAAATGTAGATTTTTTTCTCAATTTTAAAATGAAAATATAAATAAATAAATAAAATACGCAACAAAATTAACAAATGATAAGCAATTGAAATTTGTTTTAAAAATTTTAAAACTAATATACTTCATGATAATTTTTGAAATAAACAAATAAAACACATTCAACACCATGATTACATTTGAATTGATTATATGAAAATAAAAATCTATGTAACTCATCACAATGAAAATTACATTTATATTAACAAAATTAATTGTTTGTTAAATTCAATTTTATTACATTCTACTAAAAAAAATTTTAAAAAAATAATAATTATAGTGTTTTATTAATCAGAAACATAATTCTCAAAAAATATTAACAAATGAGAATACAAATCTTCATTTATGAAGTTAAAAAAAAATAATTAAAATGGTATACCAGTCAGCCTTAAAATATGAATTAGAATTACGTAAAAAAAACTATGTAACATGCAAAAAGGGTAAGTTTTTTAAAAGAAAAAAAAATGCTGCAATCATTAGAGGAAAGAAAAAACTTCCATCACAGGTATGTAAAATTTTTAGGTAAGAATTAAGATTTAGAGCATTTAGAAAAAATATTACCTTCGCTTTTTACCCAGCAAATATTCAGCTACACCTAAATAATAAACAGTTTGTGCGATTCCAAATAAAGGTGCAATTACAATCATCCTACAGCCTGCCCCTTTAAAGAAAGCTTGTGGTCCTTCATTTTTGAGAATTTTTCTGGAAAATACATAAAAGATTTTTTAGGAGGCTTGTTTCAAATTTCTTTCCATGTATATTAATAAAAATTGTAGAAAATACTTTTTAAAAATTACTAAAAATTAAATATTAAAAAAAAATAGCTACAAAAATATTACCCTTCATAAAAAATGTGACAATATTTTTTATTATTTAAAGAAACAAATCAAATGAATGCACAGAAGAAAAAAATTCTTATTTAAATTATTATTTCAATAACATATGCGACACAATTAATAAATTAATTATTAGCTTGCCAGTCTGGAATATTAACTTGCAAGCTTAACATGACTTCTTGCTAAATATGTTAAAAGTATTTTAAAAGGGGGAAAATGTGATGTAAATGTGAAAATGTAACTTTGGCAGCAATTGTTATTTATTTATTGATTTTTTTACTATTTTCTAAAAGAGATGGAGAAGGATAAATTAAATATCTATTCGAAATTATTTCATATAGTAAATTTAATTTAATTTTTTAAACTAAAAATAATTTACTTTATAAATTTCATCTCTAATATATGTATATGAATGCCACACTATATATGTATAAGAATGTAACACTAAAAACATACAGTACAGAACCCATTATCCGGAAATCTGAAAACCGGAAAACCAAAAAACCGGAACGAAATTCGATAAATTTTCTCGCCATTTTAAAAAAAATAATTTTTTTTTCCTCATAAGATTTTAGGATTTTTCTTTCTTTTTTGAAAGATGTTTACCTTACCATCATTTTGGAAATAATCATTAGTGTATTACTTCATCGTTTTTTCTTCTTTTTAAGATTATTTCCAAAAATTTATTTTCTTAGTTGGGTTTAACAATAAAAAAAACGGCTTTTTGTAGCGATTCAGAAAACCGGAAAAATCAGTTATCCGGAATAGCGATGGTCCCGATCGTTCCGGATAATCGGTTCCCTACTGTATTATGATCCTTTTTTATTTAAAAGAAACAAAGTTAACAAAGTAAGTAATTTAGTGAAAACACTTTTAAAATGTTTCTGGTAGTTTTAACTTTAACAATTAGAGACAAATTTACAAATAATAGAATTTATTATTGATGACAGTTTAAAGAATTACTTTTTTAAAAAAACGACTTAAGTCATGCAACAGACACATACTTCAGACAACTCATAACATTCCCTGCCAAAGCTAAAATGTTACATAAATAATAGTATTTTAAACTATATTATATAAAAATATTTAATTAAAACATCAACAAATTAAAAGACTTAATGCTTGTGAAACTTTTTACAAGTAGTAACAATTTCAATTTACTATAGGCTATAAATTTGAAAAAAAAAAAAATATTAAACCATTTCTTTATTCTAAGAATTACTTTCATAAGGTAATAAACTAATGGCTATTGATGTAATAATCTGATTTAAACAGGCAGTTTTTTAATAATATATCTCAAAATACAACCTATTTTATACACCCCATGGCAGAATTGCTGCGACACGGCGACATCGTCGCAGAACGTTACTGAGTTCTTGGAAAAAGATTTTTCTTTTGAAAATTATAAAAAAATTTGTTTTCTTTTCTACAGAAATTTACACGTAATATTTGAACCATGCATTTAGATAATAACTTTCTGACTATCTGAATTTACGGGGATAGTATCGTAAATCGATGTAATGTTTCGATTGTTCAATCGGAAGTTATTGATATTGATTTTCACGTGGTTTTAAAATACAGTAGGGAACCGATTATCCAGAACGATCGGGACTATCACTATTCCGGATAACTGATTTCAGATTTTCTGAATAGCTACAAAAAGTCGTTTTTTTTATTGTTAAACCCAACTAAAAAAATAAATAAATATTTGGAAAGAAAAAACGATGAAGTAATACACTAATGATTATTTCCAAAATGATGGTAAGGTAAACAAAAAAGAAAGAAAAATCCTAAAATCTTATGAGGGAAAATTTTTTTTTTNTTGACTCGCTCAATTTACGACGATGGTATCGTAACGCAATGTAATGTTTTGATTGTATTATTGGCAGTTACTGATATTGATTTTCAGTTGGATTTTAAATATTCCGATATATTTCAAACAATATGGAAAAATTGAATCGGACATTTGAGTATTTGCTTTTTAAGGCAATGATTTCATCTAATTTTTGGCAACTATTGATTTCTCAATAGTTTTAAATCCGATATTTTTTGTACGATATTACAATTATTATTATGCATTTGAGTAACCTCGTTTTGAGGAGTCCAATTCACGCAATTTCGTAGTCGACCTTTTTATTCGATAACGGATTACACAATTTTGAATTTTTATTTAGTACGATTATTTACAAAATGCGAAGGAAATAATCTGTGCATTACCCCCTCCCCAAACAAAATGCGAGAATATCACCTAAATATTAGAATAAAAAATTATTACATGTTCAATTAAAAAAAAAGCTTTTTTTTGTAAACATAGCGCTGTTGTTATTTTAAATTATTAACATACATGTTTCTTATTACTAAAAGTATCTTGCAGAAAGATAGTAGTGCTAGAAAGTTTTGTCACAGATAACTCGAAAAAATTCTGTCACAGGGTTTATACATAAGATGTTAAAAATACAAATGAGAAATAAAAGCTATGTTCTTACCCAAATGCATCTGGAATCCCTGAGTAAGTCATCTCTCCACTAGCTTTTTTGAGTAGTTGCAATCTAGTCTTAATCACTATAAATTAGAGGTAAGAAAAAAGACTTAATTCAGCAGAAGTCACATAAAACAAATAATTTGAGTTAAATTACTTCATTTACCATCAAATGGATTAACAGTAAAGGCTGCTGTAGAGCCAGCTCCACAACCAGCTAAAAATGATGTCCAAAACACTGCCTCGCCACTGCCATCTTTTTTCCGAGGCCCCAGAGCATTTAGATGTGCAAACAGAGGGAAATATACCATTGAAAAAGTAACATCTCTTAGCATTGTAGCAGCAGTTCCTTTGTACAAGCCAGCAATACCTCTTGTCCTGATTAGTTGCAGGGCAATGGAGGTTGCAGAAGTTGCAGCAACGGTTCCACTTTCAGCTGCACCTTTAGAAGCTAAGAAAACCATTAAACCAATTAAAAGATACACACTATTATTGTTGACTTTAACAATCAAAACAAACATTGTTTTTTAAATTGATGCCTAGTATTTCTAAAAGCACAAATATAGGAAAATTCAACATTCATATTTTTTTCAGAGAGTTTTGCTATGGTCACTACAATGGATTTTTTAGAGGCAAGAGTTTTAATACAACTAACAAACAAGCACTATTAATAAGCTTACTAAAACAGAGCCTTGATATGGCTAAAATAATCATTAACAATTAAATATTTAAAGAACGCAATTTTCTGGAAAAACTTTTTTTAAACAACAAATTTTTGAAATATTGTTTTAAATTTTAAAAATTTTGTAAAAAAATGAGAATAATAGTTTTCACTTATTTCATTATTCAGCTTGCATACACCATGAAACAAAGACTTTATATTTTTAGAATTAAATTATATTTATCCCCATGTACTGAACAGTTTAGTAGCCTATTTATTGAATTATGGCTCATTAAACATGAGTAAAGGACTTTTCAATAGCTTATGTGATAAGTAAAACCACTCAGATTTCTAGATTATATTTTTTTACATTTTCAAAGACTGTTGCATTTTATTTATAAGGGAAACTTAACAAGAATATATTTTACTTGAAGTATATTTATCAAAATAAACATTTATAATATTCTAAAGAAGATACCTTAAAAACCTAAACACTAAACAATTTTTGATTTGGTAAGTAAAATGCAGAAGTTTTAAAATACATATTGAGTAATTATGTGTAATTATATCATAGTTCATAATTTGCATAAGCATCATACTCAATTTTAAAATCCAAATTAATGGTTACACTTATTGCTACAAATGAATTTAATAGGAAAAAAAATGATATACTGTAGTAAGGACAGCTCATAATAAGAGGGGCCCTCTATTTAATGGACATTTCTGTAAGTCTCAATCCTTTTGAATAAAAGCCTTAATGTCATCATAGTTGGCCAGACAGACCAATGTGGGCCAATGCCTTCCTGTATTTATCTTTTAATAAAGCACACTATATTTAAAGAATGCTGAAGATGGAAGTATAGAAATATAAAATAAAATTGAAATAATCTTTGTTAGTATCTTTAAATCTCTTTTGATGACTGTTGCTGAACAATACATTGGACAAGCATGCCATGGTGCAATCAAAAGGATTTTCACAATCAATGAATTTTTGTAAGTAGAGAGAGATAGCTTACCAACCAGGGACTGCCTTAATGGTATTATGGGGAAGATAAATTAGGGTAAAAATTGTAATTTGACTCGAGCATAAGGGGTGCTAATTCAGTTTTAGAGAATATTTCAATGTGTATAAAGCGAAAATTTCTATCATTTTTAGATTTTACACAGGCTGTGATGTTGATTGGGTAAGTGTAGTTTTATAAAAAACTTTTAACTATAAATTATGTACTTACTGCAAAAATATTTGGTGGAAATGAAAGTTGAATAAACATTTATTCATTTAAAATATATGTAAATTTTGGTTTGAATATTCTTCTTTCTTCTAGACACAAACAATAAATTTTCAATAATTGTTAACAAATTGCCATTCATTTTTTGTGAAGTTTTGTGAATAAAAGGCATTTGTTTCAAAGTCTTTGAGGTGTTCAACTAATGTTGGCCCTTGTTTTGGTTCTCTGCCTTCATCACTATTACTTAGCCCTTCTGCAACCAGTTTTTGAGCCAACAACACCACAAATTTCAAAATTTTTATCAATTCATGCATGAACATCAAACATTATGTTTAAAGCGTTTTCTGCATATTGTAACAAAACCTTACTTTCATCATCATTAGTATCAAGAGTTACTACTTTTCTTTTAAAAACAACTACACTTTTTTTTAAATATCGGCAGAATTTGTGTGCGATTGAATCGGGAATTCGCTAGTTTCAAAAACAATATAAACAGGTATTATTAACATTAAAATAATAGCATTTGTGATGGGACCGTTAAACAAACAAAATTACACATACAGGAAAACGAAAGATGCAGGAACAAAAGATGGAGGTTTAACTTTGTTACATTATCATAGTTTCAAATCGGTAAATAATATTAAAAGGATGTGAAAATAATATTGAAAGGATGTAATTAATTTGGCAGGAACTAATGAGCTCAGTTTCAGATACTTAAGATAAATTTGAAATAAATAAAAACAAAGTAACATACTAAAGGGTAGAGGAGAATTAAAAACATGATTTACAAATTCAAATGAGCATTCAAAAACTTTTTAACTTAGAATAAGAAATGAAATTAAATCAATGCAGTAGTGTTCAATTTTCTATAAAACTACATGTTTTATAGAAAACATGTAGTTTTGTTCTATAAAACTACAAGAAATATTCCTGTAAGGAGAGTATAAATACAACAAAAGACAAAGGAAGTTTCCCAGAGCAGGAGGCTACAAATCAAGTGGTTTGTAAGAAAATGGTCTGTAAATCAAATGGTTTGTAAGAAAAATTTACACTTATCGTTTTTATGACTACTTGAGGTGATAAATTAAAGTAACATAGTGACTTTCATACTAATTAATTTAAAGAGAATTCATTATAATAACAATAAAAAATATTAATCGCAACCTTGATTCCCGATGAATAACACAAAACATTAAAAAAAATAATCAACAACTTTGCTTACCAACTCTCCCCGCATCTTGAAGTTGTATTTTTAACAGTTCCATGGGAGTTGTAACAATTATTTGACAAAAACCAGCTAATCCACCAGCAAGCATCTCTCTTTGCAACGGCAATTTACTAGAACAAACAAACGATTATAACTAAAATTAACATTTATTGTATGTATAAAAATCTGCAAAAAGTTGAATATTAAAATATAAGTTCAATCAATAGTAGAAAATGCATGAGTAGGGAAAAAGTCAAGTCAAGTTTTTACCCAGATCCAGATGATAACGTATGTCTGAAGAAATCGTTAGCTGCAAGTTTTATGGCTTTTTCAGGAGTGATGAGGAGAATATTAACTGCAGACCCTAATTAATAAATGTCAAATTACTTTAACAACAACATAAGTAAGAGCTGCTTTATTGTATTTACATATTAATAAAAACTGTAATAAACATAGCAGTTAATATAATTATAAAAAATTTTTTTCTAAGTTTTTGCTGATTTGGACAAACATTTTTTTTAGAAAATATTGCAGAAAATTTATCAATTCAATTTTATTAAAAAAAAAAAANTAATAAATGTCAAATTATTTTAACAACAACATAAGTAAGAGCTGCTTTATTGTATTTACATATTAATAAAAACTTTAATAAACATAGAAAAAAAATCTTATAATTATATTAACTGCTAAGTTTTTGCTGATTTGGACAAACATTTTTTCTAGAAAATATTGCAGGAAATTTATCAATTCAATTTTATTAAAAAAAAAACTATTCTTGATAAATTAAGCTTATTATTTTTAATTATAACATTAAAACAAGCACACTTTTTAAGGCATACAAAAGTTATTTATATAGCAGCCTTACTCTCATATGCAGTACTTTATTTTGAATCTAGCAGAAACCAATTTTTGGTATCAAATAGGCAGTCATTGTTTGAATAATGTTTCTTCCTCCTTCCTTTTATTTTGAAACTTTAACATATTGTAATAATTATCACAAATAAAAATAAAAAATTAAATGTCTACAGAAAGTTATACAAAATGCTAAAAATAGAATGCTTCAACTACTCAAATTGAACAAGGCAGAAAAATTATTTTTTAGAAATCAGATAGAGAAATCAAACTTTAAAAAAATAGCTATAAAGTCTTAAAGTGTATCCTTAAAACTGACAGCTATTGCAACAATGTAAGAGATTTTCTTAGTTGATGCAAAAGTTGACTGTTTAATTTGTTTGTAATCTAATTGTTTTTCTTTTTAAAAAAAAAACTTCAATACAGATTTAACTATTGAGAGTTAATCATGCCTGATTACAAAATCGAACCTGACAATCATATTGAATGAAATTACAAAAAATTTATATCTAAAACACGTATTCCATTTCCTCCCAAAAATTACATTAACAGTCGGAACTAGCATTTAAATAGGAAAATTTGCAAGGCATTGCTTCGATACCTTCAATATAAAAAATATTTATGATTAAAGTTTGAATTTGGTACTAAAAATTATGCAGATTTTTATGAAAATTGGATTAAAGATGGGAATTTCATCTAACAAAAAAGATATAATTTTAGTTCAAAATTCATCAATAGGTGGTATACCTCATGGGGGTGATAATAATGGTGGGATTTACAGAGAGCCTATAAGAACAACAATGAATAGCACATAAATTTAACAACCTCCTGCTTATAATAATATACTTAATTTGATTTCCAACATAGTCTGTAAATCATCTGAAAACAAAATCATAAATTTATAATTTATTGAGGTTAAAATAAATTCATTGAAGGTTATGTATGTTAAAGAGAGTTACACACATGGCGTGCTCTGCCATCTTTAAGATTGGAGACAAAGTAGATAGAATTACATAAGGTCAAATCTTGTAAAGAATGTGCACAGCCAAATGTCGCAATAAATTCAAATAAAGAGATCTGAGAGGCAAAGTTGTATTGAAAATTACATCAAAAAGTGCAAAAAGTGAGATAAGATTCCCATTATTTCATTATGCTACTGTCCAGCTTTCACGAAATTTCGCTATATAGTTTTTGAAGCAGCATTTCGTGAACATGAACTGTAATTATGAACCTCCTGTAGAATGATAAAAAAGCAATATTCTGAATTATAGCTCAGAAAGTTAATAAAAAAATATAAAATCGGATTTATTACCTCTGTACATGCCAACAAAGCCTTCTCTAGAATAAGTTTTACGGAAACAGTCCAACCTGGAGAATTTAAAAATATAAAATGTGAAAAACATCTCATAAACCTAAATATAATAAATACTGCAAGATAAACATACATATGTATATAAAAAGTAAAAAGAATGCAAAAGAAGAATAAAGGTGAGCCTCATAAAACTAAATTAATGAAATACTAAAGGATAAACTTACATAGAAGAATACATTTTTTGTCCTTGTGGTCCAACTTGCTGGTTCTGCAGCCTCGTTTTCACTAAATCAATGGGGAAAACACATGTCACGCCAATTATACCAGCAATGCCACCGTTAATAATTTTAGGAATCAACCTAAACAAGTAAAAACAAAATTTTTAACTTTCAAAATTTCATTAATTCTCACTACAGTAAAAATTAAAACAAGTAGTTTTAGGTTACCAATTTGAAAAATTTCCCCCCTTTTAATAGTATATAATATTATTGAAGAAACAAAAAAAGACAATTTAAATAAAATTATAACATTTGTAATTTGTTATGCAATTATAATTATAACATTTAAATATTTTTAAATAAAACAAAATTTACTTTTATTCTTCAAATTTTAATTCTAAAGAAAATGCAGAAGACAAGAACAGAGTAAGTAGGAGAAAGGAAGGAAACTATGGTCTATGATCTATAGCAGGGGTTTCCAACTGGCGGCCTTCGGGCCGCATCCGGCCATTTAAGCCTTTTTTTGTGGCCCGCGAACTAAAATATATTAGTTTCAATAGCGGACAATTTTCGTAAAAAATCTATAAGAGCTTAAAATACTTTTCTCGTTAAAAAAAAAATCTAATTTTTTTTGTCATCTGTGAAATTTAACATACCAACGTTGCAAAAAAATTCATTTCTCAGGTTTTGCATCCAAGAAAATATTTATTCAAATACAAAAATAATCGTGTATGTTGCTTTCTTTTTTTATTTCGTGAATATAATTCAGCATGTGAGTATCAGAAATTCTCCAATTTAGATTTTTGAAACCACTCATTTTGGACGAAATTATTTACATCCGTAAATTTTAAAGTGCATAAAAGAGGGAATGAATATCATGTTTTGAATATCGCATGAGTGGAAAAGAAAAAAAAAATAATTTCAGATGCACGAGAATTTTTTAGTTGTTGCTATAATTCCTAATAAGTCGAAATTTTTTTAATTTATCACAGAATTAAATTTTAAAGTAAAAAAAATCTTGTCACTAAGTTTCAGATTAAGAGAAGATTCAAAATGATACGCAACAAGCATTATTTGTAATGTTTGCTATTTTTATTTTTTTAATATTAAAAAAACTTTTATAAAAATCTGACAGCAATATTTAATGCTCCTTCAAACATAAAAAGAGTCCTATATAAAATTTTGATAAAGTTGTGGCCCGTCATTTGACTGGTGTTTTTAATTGCTGCCCCTGGTCTCATGTAAGTTGGAAACCCCTGATCTATAGCAATCTTTTGAAAAATGCAAGAAATGATGTTCAGAATGCAAAATGAAAAATGCAATACATGTAGAACTTTTTTTAAAAATTTAATTATACGATTTTTGCATACTAACTAAGGTCTTATTGTTCAAGAGGTAGACTTTATTCTAAATTATTACAGACCATATTTTAACAGACACAAAAATTTTCTTCTCAAATACAAACATTCCTTTCCTTCTACACATTCGGATATTATTTTTGAATCCCTCAAAATATGTTACTTACAACATAGTAAATATGATCCTAATAGTTAAGTCAGGAGAGCCGCATTAAAAATCTAATTTCATCATTAACAAAAAGTTACACGCATTAAGTGAAAGCACTCGGTATCTCAGGTGCTCAGAAGATACTCGTGACCAGTTAACGTACGAAAATTAACCGGGGGAAGATCATGAGTAAAGGATTAGGGAGGAAGCTGGTCCAAATCTTTCCTGCAGCATCCACATCTTGCACAATCAGGAATTATATTAATTATTTAATTCAAATATAGGATAAATTATTTAATTTAAATGTAGGAATATATTTAAGTTAATATTCATTAAGTATTAAAGGTTATAGATTTTTTTAAAAAGAATATATACATACATTCCAATTTAAAATCAGTAATCCTTATTACTTAATGATTATTAACTTAAAATATTTCTGAATAATGTATTGCTAATGAACTCGTTTTGATATAAAAAATTGATCCTCTTATAAAAATTAATAGTTAATTATCCAATGCTTTCAAAGGGGTAAAAATTTAAATTTATGCAAGCAAAATTGTAAGCGAGTGGTATATTCACATCCCTCCACTTGCAGAGCCTTAATCTGGAACTCGAATCACTACCTGCATCGCTATCACTACAGCAGCCAGCCTTTTATACCTGTTCATTTGTAATAATCTTCATATTAATATTTTGTCATTGTTATAATACAATTTAAAAAAATGCAAATGGTTTCAAAATTTAATAATCCTAAATAACTTGTAAAAAAAACAAGATTTTTAAGTATTTGTTTAAAATGAATATTAAATCAATTAACACTTATTGATATAACAATATTAAAATTGATTTCTAATATTGCATAAAATATACCAAATTTATCAGCCGCAATAAAAATTAGCATCCCTTTCAAAAATTAATTTAATGACAATTCTTGAAAATTTAAATAATGAGTTATGTAACTAGCACTCGCTAAACGTGTTAATATTTTCTCAACTAATCCAAAATGTTCCCAGACGAAAATCAGTATGGGTTAATAGGGTGAGCATTTAGATGGGTTTTATATAATTAGGACTAGTATTTCATTTCAAATAAACAAAAATGAATGTCAATCATTTCGGATTTCTACACTGCTGATAAATTCAACATTCACAGTTTTCTGTATTTTTTTTCCGTGTAAAAGCAGTAAAAAAAATATATTGCGCAACATCCTTATTGAAACACGACTTCAATTAAGAATTCCTGAGTCAAGTAGATGAACATGCCATATTTTGTTTCAATCTTTTCTAGTACATCTACTTTAAATTAGTCTGATGTGTTCGAATGGAAATCAACACGCCCATAAATGTTTTCCGCTTATAGATCATTAGATAATGAGTATCTTAATCTAACACTAACTCAAATATGATAAGTGCTAGACATACGCAACATTATTTACTTACCAATTCAATTGCGCTAAAATCGAAAGAAAAAAAATATGTATCTAAACATAAAGAATAGACTAAAAATTGGAGTTCGATGCGTTTTACGGTTGATGCAATAAAAAAATAAAAAAAGATCTATAAATAAGATGTTACAAATAATTGAAAATCAATATAGTGAGCTATAAATATTTAAGTGGGGAAAATTGATAATAAGAAGTTCCTTAAAATGAAGACTAAATAAAATTGCTCACTTCAAGAAGAAATAATTTTAAAAGATACGATAAACATTAAATAACAAAAATGATATCGTGAAAAAAATTATTTTTAAAAATGTATTTTAAACAGCAGATAACTGAACTTAAATCAGAGTTAATCTGTAACTAATCATTCGATAACGAACTTAAAACAAATATACTTTTTACATTTTCATCGTTTATTTCAATCAAATTATCGCAACTTAAAAAACGCATTATATTTCAATTAAAAAAAAAAGAAAAAAAGAAATATGGTAAAAATTATCGTCTGCATTCTTGGCAGATGTTTATGAGTGTGCTCTCCACAGTTGTTGCATACGTATTTAGTCATTCTGTTTATTTTTGATGGACAGAATAAAAAAAATTTAAGGATAGTAATAACTTACAGGGGAAAAAAAAAAGAAAAAACACAGAAAAAAACTCAACGGCTCAGACGACAATGTCAGCAAATCTCGAAAGCTAACAAGTGCAGAGCCACGCTTATTACCTTCCGGTAACTCATTTTAATAGTTACGAAGGTACTGAGAGTGAGATAGTACATGCAAAACGGGAACAATTCGAATTCGCGAAGTTTAGTTATCAAGTATTAATATAAAACATGAAATGGTGTCATAATGCTTACCAACGTACATATGCTGCACAATTTGTAACAACGTGTACAGTGCGCAAAATGAAAAACGGACCACCCTAAATAACTTTCGATCTAATGATCGGATCTTTACGTTCTAGGAAGTCTTATCTTCTAGGAAATCTTTTATCCTCTTAAATCTTTGGGGAGTGACCTCAATAATGTGAATAAGTCACATTTTTAAAATTCGATCTCGCAGTAACTATTTTACCACGTAAAATTACATTCTTTAAAATGATGTAAAAAATGTATACTTCTCGATTCTAAAATTTTTTAGATTATAATTAAATAAAATAATAAATATTTACTAAAAGCTATTTTTTAATGAATTATCTTTAGAAAAACGAATTTTATAATTGTGTGCAAAAAATTTTCGGTTCACTTGAAAAATTCTTAAGATATGGCGAAATACGCAAAAAATAAAATGTATAATAAGGGGTTCAAAGTTTGGACCGCTCTCTTGCCCAAACTATTGTGACTATTTCCCAGATTGCGGCAAAACTCTATATTTTGAGGGCCAAAAATCAGAATGCGTCGAAAGAAAGCTATGTTTATTAAGAGAAAGTATGATTTAGTGTCTAATTTCGTAACTTAAAATATCATTCGCACTAATTAATTTTCATATAAGAAGTCACCCCTTCGAAACATTAAGATTGAGTTCTCTAGTACGTGAAAACCCTATCATTAGATCAGCTTATTTTCTTGGGCACTGTACATTATTATGTATATGCTTGAACAAAGGGCAAAATAAAAAGCGAAACAATTTTACAAACAAAATAATTTTTGATATTCTAATCAGATTTTTTTGTACATTGAAATGAATACCTTAATTACTTTTTGATGTTTTTCCGCTTTTAAAGACTCAAATCATTTTGATTCGACGGAGTAGCCTTAAAAACGGAAATTACTTTTCAGTTATAAAATCAGACACAAGCATAATTTCTCAGAATAAATATGTTTTTTTTTTTCAACGGATTTGTATTTTCGACCTGTAAAATATGAGGATAGAAATAATCTGGAAAATATGGTCTCATTAGTTAAATTAGGGGTGCAATCAAAAGTTCGAGCCCTTTAATTAAGCAAAACCCATTTGCCCAATTATAAAACTCATTTATCCTAATAGATAACAGTTCATTATTTAATTTAATAATGGTCGAAATTTTTTTCGTAGCAGAGAATACAATTTTTTAACTCATTTTAAGGTAAGTAATTTTAACTGAAAAAATCCAAAAATCTGTCAAATACAGTTTGTATAGTCATTATTTTCTACCATTTCTAAAATTTTTTCAGAGAGTGGGCCGTCTTGTTAATTCAAATAAAAAGCAATTTCCA